AATGTGCTGATTAGATAAAATTTTTAGTTCTTCCTTACTTATTGGTTCAGGTTTTTAAGTCTTTGAGGGTTCAATACAGCATTTAGCAATGTTTGTGTCGATTAAACCCTAATAAATAAGAAAATAATAAAAAGAAATTAGTATATAAACACACAAAATGATTATTTTAGTTTAATAGTAGGAAGTAGAAAACTGTTAGGCGATTAGGCGAGGCGAGCCTCAAAGGGCGACTTGTCGCCTAGGCGTCACCTTGACTATGGATGTGCTCTATGCAGTAACATAGCCTCTATTCTCCCTGTTTTCTTGAGGGGCATGACAGGTGGTGTGGAAACCAGACTCTACAAGAGAGATTTCCTTCTCTTTTTGAGATTGCTGTTGATAAGGATGTTGTGGTCGAAGACTGCTTTGATTCTGTGAATGGGGAGGTTATTTGGGGTCCCACTTTCCGAAGAAACCTCAATGATTGGGAAATTGGCCCTCTGACTGAACTGTTAAACCTAGTTCAAAGCATCCAGCCTAATCTACAGACTGAAGATGAAAGATTCTGGTCTTGGAGCTACTCAGGAAAGTTCTCCTCTCAGTCTTTCTACATTAACTTGCTTCCATGTGAGGGTATTGACTTCCCTTGGGCCTTGATCTGGAATTTTCATGCCCCTTCCAAGGTTTCCTTTCTGTTTGGACTGCAGTTTTGGGTAAATGTCTTACCACTGATCAGCTGCTCAGGAGGATGCTCTTACTGAACATCCTATGCCCCCTATGCAATGAAGTTCATGAATCCTCCAACCATCTTTTCATCCATTGCAGCTTCTCTTCCCAGCTGTGGGATTTGGCTTTTTCCTGCTTTGGAGTCCAATCTTGCCTACCTGAATCAGCTCTTCAGCTCTTGCAAGGATGGCCTCTCAAGGGCCTGAACACTAGGGGCAAACAGCTTTGGAGGATCTTCCCATCTGCCATCCTTTGGGCCCTCTGGAAGGAAATGAACAGCCGAATTTTTTACTACACTTTCTGATGTAGTTTCAGTAAAAAACAAGGTTATAGGCTTTTTGTGTTCTTGGTTAAGTGTACAAAGGGCATTCAGGGGTGTCCAGCTTTTCTCTTTTTTGCAAGCTGGACCTTTCTTTTGTTGACACTTTTGTATATTCCCATTGTACAGGCTCTCATTGTACATGGGCTGATACTTTTTACTTTAATACAATTAAATACCTTACCTGTTTCAAAAAATATATATATTTAATCAAAATTTGCTTCATATTTGCAGAGTTGCTGCTACAAAAAGTCCTGTAATATTCATTGGAACTGGAGAACACATGGATGAGTTTGAAGTTTTTGATGTCAAACCATTTGTTAGTCGTCTATTAGGTAGCTGCACCCTCAATCACAACGGCACCTGTGTTTGATTTATAACAACTTGAAAGTTTATGATATTATTTAATACCCAAAAGTGTATTACATGTTCACATTTTATATCTTGTTCCTATCAGGCATGGGTGATTGGTCTGGGTTCATGGACAAAATTCATGAAGTTGTGCCTATGGATCAACAGCCTGAGCTTCTACAAAAGCTTTCTGAAGGCAACTTCACTTTACGTATTATGTATGAGCAATTTCAGAACATACTCAAAATGGGTCCCATTGGTCAGGTTTGTTGTTTATTATTCTATCTTATATAAGTTTTTCCTCCTAATCCATAATGCAGAACATATTAAGAGAAAATTTTAAAGTACCATATCCTTGAGTTCCCAAAGAAGGGCTATTAATGGATCAGATCCTTATATGGTTCTACTCAGAATTTAATTCAATTAAGCAAAATGGATCTCAAATTGTAGATGTATTTATAATTGACCCCAATTCAATTGGATTGAGATCTGATACTGTATTATTCCTATACATAAAAATAATTGTATAGGAGACAAGGAACCTTACAAGCTAAAATGGCAAACAAGATGTTACATGGAGAGAAACCTGACTACAAGAGAAACTTTCAAACTTTCATCCTTAGTAAGGGAATGATCAAGAAATCAACTAAAAAGCTGCCCTTGAGAATGAATAGTTCCAATTGTGAAACCATAGCTGGATAATTTGGACCATATGAGAGTGAAGGGAGAATGAGGATGAGCAAGGCAGATCTTAAATTTTCACAAACTTCAATCTAGCCTATCAAGCAATCTCTTCCTAACCGATCTCAAATTTTCAAACTCTCCTTGGGTATTGCATGTTTATAGGAGGAAACCTTGTTACTTGGAAAAGTAAGAAATAGACCATGGTAGCAAGGTCAAGTGTTGAAGTAGAGCATAGGCCTATGACACATGGAGTTGCTGAAGTATTGTGGCTTTCAATCCTTATAAAGGAACTGGGAATGGTTATCATTGGGTCTTTAAAACTATATTATGACAATCAAGCAGAAAATAACGTTGCTAATAATCCTGTTCAGCATGATAGAACTAAGCACATTGAAATTGATAGATACTTCGTGAGACAGAGAATTGTTTTTGGAGATCTTTGCATTCCATATATGCCATCTACAAGACAGATAGCCAATGCGTTCACCAAGGATCTCACTAATTAATATTCTCGGAATTGTTGTGCAAGTTGGGCATGATAGATAACTATGCTTAGCTTGAAGGGGGAAGCTTTGTAAGGCCCAAATGTATGGGTTTTGTGGAGTGGTTGGGCTAAATGGGCCTTAGTTTTATTTATTTTTAGTAGCTTTATTTCTGATGTAGTGGGCCTTCTTTATGGGCCTTAATACTTATTCTTTTTTTATGCTCTTTGAGACAACCATCCAACTAGGGGCACTCATGTAACTTTACATACTTCATTATTCAGCACATATTTAATCAAATAGAGGGACAGAGAGAGAAAGGATCAGTCATCTCTCATTCTCTTCCCCTTTCTTCCATTCTCTTCTCTTCCTTCTAAATCTTTCAGAACATCTCTTTCTTCCACTTTTCTTTTTTTTTATTTTAATTTTCAGAATTATTGTTGGTGTGATTTACAACTTGGTATCAAAGCAGGTTCCCATCTTCAATTTCTTCTTTTAGGTCTATACATAGTGTGTATGGAGAACTGATTTGCTGATTGATTTGAAGCTTATACAGCCCAGTTTGGGAGGGTTTTTAAGAGGAACTTACCCTTAGTTTGAGCCCCAAGATAGGTTCTTGGAGATTTTCCCAAAAACCCTAAATAACTGGAGAAACTAAATTAAGGATTCTAGAGACACTTTAGAGCTTGTGCTTGGGGCTTGAAGAGAAGTTTTGTGATGCTCTTTGAGATCGTTCCAGGTTGGAAAGGGTTATGGAATCCTTGGTAGTAGTGGTTGGACTTTCTCTCCTTCAGGTTGTCGGATCCTGTGAAACCCTAGTTTTGGGTGGTTGAGGAGCAGTTTTGGCTTTAGGTTAGTGATTCAGTATCCTAATTTGATTTTTGTTTGCTTCCGTTGAGTTAATGGAGCAAATTGGAGGTGAGACAAAATACCCCACATACTCTGGGTTTGCCATGGAGGGCTTGTGGAGATTTGTTAGGAGCAAGGTTTAAAATGTCGATGTCGTTGGAAATGTCGCTTACCAAAATATAGGACATATGTCGGAAATGTCGAGGGGAAATATTGCAAAAATTAGAGACATTGTGGAAATATTATGAAATATGTGGAAATATGCAAAGATATTTTGTAAAATGATAAAAGAAGCATTAATACATATTTCTAGACTATTATCTTATTCCCAACCATTATATAAAGCTAAGAAACTAAGATCAATAACAAATTAGTAAATGACGAT